AAAATTTTTAAAAACCCAAAAATTTTTTCGGGCTTAAAAAAAAAAAAAAAAAAAAAAAAAAAGAAAAACCAACGAAAAAGAAAACAAAAAAAACCCCACACAGAAACACCCCGCCTGCAGAAATCTAACGTGTTGCCCGGTGCCATCTGAGCATGCGGCGCGGAGGGGTCCCCGCGGTGCCGAGGGGTCTCCGGGAGCTGCCCCCGCGGCGGGGCCGCCGCCTCCCGTTCCCGCTGCCCGTCGGGCCGCCCGCGCCGCCCCCGAGCGGCCCCGCTCCCGCTCTCCTACCTGGCCCGGGGGCTCCCGCGGCGCCTCCGCCGCAGGACCAGCTGCAGGGCAAGGCGCCGCGGCCAGCGCCGCCCCAGCGCCCCGAAAACGCGGCGGAGGATGCGCCAGCCGAGCGCCCAGGCCCGGGGCAGGCTGCGGGCGCGCCGAAAGTGGATGGTGCACCTTATCCGCGGGGTCATGGGTGCGGGGAAGCCGCGGGCGCGTCATGCTACAAATACCTCCCCAGCGGGGCCCCACCGGTGAATCGGCCCTCTCACCCTCCATTCATTATTTCCTCTTCTTTTGGTTAATTTTTTTTTTCTTTTCCGTTTAACTAATTTCGACTCCCCATTTCACTTTACACTCGCTCCGCTCCCCACCCCTCCCCTACACCCCCCTCTAGACTCCTCCCACGATGATGGCTCCCGCCTCGAAAAGCGGGCGAAGGAAGGTTGGCCGCGGGGGATGGGGAGGGGGAAGATCGCCGGGGAAGAGCACCGCCACCAGACGGGCGTAGGGACCGGCCAATCGCAGGGCGCTCCGAGGCTTTCAAATAAAGCCTTGACGACATCTCCTTGCCCTCCCCCCGCTCTGTCCCTCCAAACACACCGCCTCCCGCTCAGTTTGGGGTTTTTTCTTGCTGTTCAGTTGCTCCCGGACCGCAGTGCCCCCGGGAAAACCCCGACGGGAAAGGGGGCCTGCGGCGGCTCGGAGCGCCGCGCTGGCACTCGTGAGAGCCGGCTAGCGGATCGCTGCCGCTTGGAAAGCGCGGGCCAGAGCTGGCCCGGGCGAGCAGCTATTTCCTTGTCACATGGCCATTTGAACGCGACGCGGGAGCGCTGCGTAGCGAAGCGGGGGAGGGGGGGCGCCGGGAGGGGGGAGAGAAAAGAAAAGAGGATCTCTATTTCCCCGCGTCGGTCACCGAAACGGGTAATGAACGGATCCCCGCCCAGCCCCGGGGCCTTCTCCGCGGAGTGCTCCGCGGTGTCGGACCTCTTCGCTTTCCTTTTGAAGGGCGAGGTTTTGGGGCGGGGGTGGGGGGAGCAGCGGAGGGTCGCTCAGGAGCCCCAGTCCACCTGCTGGCGCTCCCCTGCCCACCTGGCTCCAGGAAGCACCGGTGAGCTGCCGAGACCCGCGACAGCCGGTGCTGAGCCAGCTCTGCCGCCCTGGGCGGTGGAGGGGGTTACTGCTACCTCCCCGTCCCACTCCCCATCCCAAGGGTCCTTCTGCCTGCGCTGTCCCCCTCCAGGGTGCGGGGTGCTTCCGTGCGAGGCGTGAGAAGAGCGATGGGCAGGGAGAGCGTCATTTCTGCTGGCGCATCTTCCCCCTCCCCGGGCGCGGCGGGGCCCGGCTCGGATGGTCACGGCTAGAGGCGGCTGGGAGAGGGATCAGGGCAGCCCCGGGACGGCGGGGAGCCGCGGGAAAGGCGCCGGGTGGGGACGCAGAGTGGCAGTGCCTGGGAGGGATGGTGAACACCAGCGCGTGCAACAGCCTCCCACAACAAACACCTCCTTCTCTCGGATGGGCAAAAAGTCGAAATGTCAACAGAAGGTTTCTCCTGCCTCGGCACGGAGTAACCCTAACAACAATGCTGATAAGGAAAAGCCTGTAATGGTTTCTTTTCAAGTCCGATTTCAAGCCTGGGAAACTGGATGAGCAAAATCGGCCATTTCGAAATGAAAGCACCTTTCGAGAGAAGCTTTGGTTTTTTTCCCCTCCCCCCGTTATTTTTTCCTCCTCTTCTCCCCTGCGATGACTACTGCTTCCCGACCGGCAAGGCAAAATGAATGCCTGCCTGGCTGTGGGGTGCAGGTGCCGGGGCAAAGGTGAGAGGATGGACCGACAGCTCTGGCAATAGAAACCGAATACCCACCAACGCTGAATGCATGGCCGATCCGGAGCTCGTCGTGCGCAGCGTGCAAACCGCGCTGCAGAAGGGTGTACTTGTGCTCACATGTACTCGGTTACAGCGGCAATATTAAAAATAAAAATTGCGAGTAATCTGCCACCTTAAACAAAATGATTTCAGGGCTTTCTTGATAAAGTGTACTGCTGCTGCAGTTTGTCATTAACTGTTACTATTCTTCTTTTCAAGGGGGACTCCAAGCCCTGGAGCCGCTGGTGCTGCCAGAAGAAAAGGTGCCTGTGGAAGCTCCCGCAGCCAAGTGGGACCCCGCCGGTGATCCCCATCCTTCCATGGAGTGAGTAGTCCCCATCATGGGTCTGTCCTGGGAAGGGGCTACAGACTTACTCTGTGAGGCAGATTTATAACAATTAGGTATTTAGCCTTGCTGAGTTTTGAGGGCATACTCTGCTTATTTGGTGCGGTCAGCCTAGCAAACTGCGTTGTTTCCCGGCCAACTTTATAGACAATAACAGTAGTAATATAATACTACTAATTTTGTTGCTGTAGTTTCATAAGCCTTAATGGAAATGCTCAAAAATTGAAATCAAATCTGGTTCTTGGAGAAAATTATGATTTAAAACAGGAATACTGGTCCAATTGAGGATGGAAGTGCAGTTTAATAGAACCTTACTCTTCTGTAAGGAATGTGGTCAGGCTCTAGCTTTCCCTCATCTCCAGTTCTGGTCGCAGCTCCATTCTGGTTCTCACAGGCATGGGATGCAGGCACTTAACTGTGTTGTCCTTGGTTCAGCTGTGCCATGTTCTAGGCAGAGTGCATGGCAAATTAATAAGGTGTTATAATCACATATTATGTGTTATTATTATCACGTTACATGTTTTCTATTTATAGATACTTATAAAATATATGCTTTAGGCATTCTTATAATGAAAATGTGTGAATATAGAATAAAGATAACATAAATGTTTTGTATATGTTTTATATATATATACATATAATTTCGTTATAATTAAACCAAGAAGCATAATTAAACAACTAAGCAAATTACATATAAAATAATGCATAATCAAATATATCTCGTTGATGCATAATCATAATGTTTTATATATGTGTTTTATATGTGTATCATGTATATTTTATATAGATATTACATAGATGCATTATATACACGAATGACATAACTAAACATTTTATAGCATGACAACACATATCAAGTAATTATAAAGCAGGCATTGCATGAAATCACATTATAATAAATAACATTTTCCAACATCTTACAAAAAAGGTATATACATTATTTTTCATGTTTCTATATGAGATACCTAGGGGTTGGATGCTCAGTAGGAATGCAAAACCAAGATAAGTGTTTTTCACCTTTTCTAGAGGTAGCTCTGCAAAGCGCCCAGGATTAGCGCTGGGGTGCGAGACCTGAACTCTGTCACTGCTTCGCCTGGCTTCCCTTTCTCAGTCCCTGAGGTGCAGGACGTGTGAGCAAAGCCCACTTGGGTTCCAGGGAGGGAGGCAGGGTCTACCGCTTGTCTCGCCCCGGCTGGGAGCGCCGTCCCTGCCTCACCGCCCGTCTCGCTGCTGTCTGCGAGCTCCCTCAAGCACACCTCTCCGGGGGCTTGGGGACTCGCTGCGCTGAGATCGGGTCTCCCCGCCTCCTCCTTTCACCTCGGCAGAGCCTGGGCTGCCGCTGTATCTTTTTCCTGGGGTGCTCATATCCAACTCCCCTGTGCTGAAGCAGCCAGTGAAGCATGTATCTATCGGCTGTCAAATAATTAACACATAGCCCCGCTCCTCGTTCCCCCACACTGAACGCAGCAGAGCTGTTTCAAAGGTTTCCTTGTTTCTTCACCAAATGTGTCACCTCCGAGCATCTTGGGAAGCACTGGAGTTGAGCTCAGATGTATGATTTTTAATTTTTCGTTTATGGCTGCCTTGGTTTCACAATCACATGATTTTTTAGAAGGACTATAACTCAGAAGAGGTCACTTGCAAATTATTAAAACAACGAGTACTTCAACTGAGGATCGTTATCAGGCTTGCAGAGATACAAATTTCTATTTATTTTCTCCTTCCAGCTCCTATAGTTGCAGCCTACACAAGGAAAGCTACGAATGCGTAGCTGTCAGTACGTGTACAGACATGCGCAGGATCCTACGTGGTTTTAATAAGGTGTTTACCAAAGCTACAATCACACCAGGAAGCACTGATCCTGCTGTCCAGCCGGTTTTGCCGGAGAAAGGCAGATTGGCTTCAGCACCCCTTCAGATCGCTTTAACCAAAATCAAACAGGGGCTGTCAGAACAGGGACACTCTGAAACGTCTCCCATCTTCTTCAGATGGGGGGCTAGCAAGCTGGAGCGGGGAGCCACCGGGGAGCAGAAAGTCCAGATGCGGCCCCATCAAAACAGAGGAAGGGTTTATAGTATCATATCTCTGTGCGGGGATTTCCCTTCATATTTAATATTCAATATTGGCTATTTAATATTTTCACATTTAGTGTTTTCTTACTTCATATTTCATACTTCCTACTTCATATTTCATATTTCTCTTCAGTGTTTGGACTCTTGTGTGAATAAGGGGGCCTGCGGAGTGCCATAGCATTTCCAGTGCAGGATAATATATGGTCATGAGCAAAGAATATTGTCCTTCGTGCAGCCAGCAGGGAAACGCGATCCGGGGTTATTCACAGCATCGCATGAGTACTGTTCCACTTGGTGTCCCCCGAGCTGGGGGCGGGCAGTAAGTCTGGGGAGAGGATGGCCCGGGGAGAGGTTGGGCACAGGGCGGAGGGTCGCGCAGGTACCGCCCCACGGCTCCGTGCGGGCCCCCCACCGCCACGTCGAGGGGCAGGCGGCCGCGGCCGTCGGGGATGTCGAGGCGCGCCCCGGCCCGGTGCAGCGCCGCCAGCGTCTCCAGAAAGCCGGCACGGGCCGCATCGTGCGCCGGGAGGCAGCCGGTGCTCGGGTCGGGCCGGTTGGGGTCGGCTCCGTGCCGCAGCAGCAGCTCGGCCACCCGCGGGCTGCCCAGCATCATCACCTGCGGGGAGAGACAGCGTCAGCGCCCGCCGCAGAGCTCAGGCTTCTCGCTCGGAAAGAAGGGAGATCCACAATGGAAAGGAGAAGAAAATCCGCCGGTGGGGCATAGAGACCGGCTCTGTACGCGCCACGAACAGTGGAGAACGTGTACCCGTCGGCGGAGTTGTGCCGTATTGGAAAACTCTTCTTTACCCACGCTAGAGGACAGGAGAGAACAGGTGGGGCACAGAGGTGCGGGACTCCTGCCGGGGTCGGGGCGTGTGGATGCACACTGGGGTTGCTCCGCGACAGGAGCGGGAAGTCGGTAGGCTCGGAGCAGACGAACCGGGGGAAGGCTCGCCCTTCTCCCGGCACGCTCCCATAGAAACCCAGGTCACGTCCCAGGTCGCTTTGCACCGGTCCCCGCGGAACCGTGCCGGTGCAGCGGCTCGCGGGGACCGCCGTCGTTCCGCTCGCATCCGTGACACTTCCCCAGAGTGTCCCTGGCGTAATGCAGGGAGCCCACCGCGTCTTCCCTCACCGGCAGGAGGGAATGAACCTCTTGCCTCACCCGCGTATCCTGGGCAGTACCAACGTGTCCGGCAGCCCTCCCCATTGGCCTCGCCGTTTTCTTAGTTGGGCTTCCCCTAGCGCACCCAGCAGCGTGTTCAGCACAGGGGATAAGTCCCTGCCGCGAAGATCGGGGGAAAAAAAACCCCAAAACCAAAAAAGCAAAAGCACTGCAGGACGGCAACAAATACCTGTTTCGAGTGAAATGCTCCACCGACATTTTGAGTCGGAGAGTGTTTCGCAAGCACTGGCAGCACAACTTAAATATAGCTTCTCAGATTATTCCAGTTTCGTTTTATTTTGAAATTTTAATAAAAAGCTGGCTAGAACTACCCCGAAAACTAACTCAGCCTTTATAAATATAACCTCTACTACACCTCCGGGCACTACGTCTACCCACACGTTCAGGCGAGTATAAAATGTGGGCAGACTGAGCTCCATAGGCATTGCTCGTTGTTTACCTGCAGCGTCACCTGGGCAAGGCTATCGCGACCGGGTATTTCTGCTCGTGAGAGCCACCGAAAAAAATTCTAAAATTTCAGAATTCTTTTTTTTTTTTTTTTTTTTTTCACGGGAGAGGAGACAAAAAAATGCAGTCATATAAAGCAGAAGACGAGGTATAACGAAAGGGAGATTGTTTCTACAAACCTGACTTGTTACATTTTATTGCGCGTTTATTGCGAGATGAGCATTAAAGTTCTCGGATTTGAGTCATCCTATCTCAGATGGTTCAAACCATGTAAAGAGTTGCTAAGACTAAAGCCTCCCTGTTGCGACCGTCACCGGAGAAGATTTTCAGCTTCCCAGAGAGGCGAGAAAAGCCCCTGTGCCACGCCGCCTCGACAGCAGCCGAGCACAGTGACGGGGGGCGGCCCCTTCGGGGCACCGGAGGGCTCGCTGCTGCCCCGGGGCGGCCGCCGCCCCCCTCGGGCAGGGCACGGAGGGCCGCTGCCGTCGCCCAGCTGCCAACAGTCCGCCTCCCTACCTGAATGGGGGTCCTGCCGTAGGAGTTGGCGGCGTTGGGGTCGGCCGCTCCGTCCAGCAGCTCCCTGAGGCGCTGCAGGTCCCCGCGGGCGGCGGCATTGGCCAGCTCATCGGCCAGCGCGCCTGCCGCCC